ATAAGCATCTTTCCGTCTACAGACGCTACGGCCACCTTTTCCACGAAATGCTTACATAAAATTATTCCACAAGATCGAACTTGTTTTGAAATTTGACTTCTTATTCCATGGTGCTCTACAGGATTAATTAGTTACAGAAGAGGAGCTACAGGCTCGATTCAAATTAGTTTCCAGCTCTACGCAGACAGCGCATTCCGAAGTTTTGTGCAGTACAGGGCTACGGGGGTACTTCTTGGGTTTGGGGTTTTTAAAAAGAAGTCTCTGCATTAAGATGTATGGAAAGGGGAGGGGAAAAAACCAGCTCTGACACTTGCTGTAACAACTTACAGAAATACGTTGCGTGTATCAGAACTATGTTTACACGTCCTATTGACGTTACCAGTTTACACCAGAGAGTTAGCTCTCACGATTTCTCCTCATACGGACACTAACTCTAAAAGAATCCTAATTCATGGTAAAGCACTCCTTTGCAAGCTAGCCAACAAGTAGTACAAAAGCCTATGAAGTCTACATTGCGAGAAATGAAGTCTCTAACTGCATCCAGGACAACCCTCCCAAAACGCCCTTTCAGGGTTTGGAATCAAAGGGTCACCGTTGGCGCTCTCTATTTAGCAGCAGTTCGTTAGTCAGTTGTTTGTGTGCGTGCCCTCGGCTTGCAATTCAACTGGTTAAATAATATTTGAGCTGTATCGTCCCTAGACTTACTGAAGTTGGCTCAAAAAAAGTCAAAAATAAGGCATTTACTGTAACCAGAAGCAGACTGCATACAAAGAGCTATTTAACAAGAAGGTAGAGAGCTGGAGTCAATAATCCCGAAGAACTAAAAGAACTGCTTTAAAACCAGAGAACAAAACCAGAACTCGTGGGTATTTTGCTGCCTTGCGGGAAGGTTATGGTAACAGGCCATTTTAAAGTGTGGTCAGTGAGCTCACAGGGGCTGGAAGAGACGCCACTGACGCTCTGAAAGAAGAGAGATGTAAATAAAACTCATTCTGAATATAAGGCAGAGCACTCTTGATAAACCCACATCTCAGATTCCGAGTTGTCTTGGATAGATTTAAGCATTGGAACTGACACTCCATTCTAAACCATTCTATGATCCTAGGATATTAACAAATTCCCCGAAATAAATATTCACAGCAATCCTTCCTCAGCAGCTGAGTACAGGGGAAATTCTTCCCAAGGTAAACAGACAAACCCTGAACCAAAAGACCCACCACCACTTGGAGTGGCCTCTAAATCGTCTCCTCTACATCCCTCAAGCGACAGCTCCTTTTCCTGAGCTGCTGTGAAAAGGGAAAAGGTACTTTGCAAATGAAAATTGATATAACGAGTGCATTTCACTGACGAGGCAGCAGCGAGCCTGCACCTTCTCTCCGTGTTAGCGTAAAATCCAAACAAAATGGAAAATCATCTGAATGGTTTCTGAGTTTTGTCTATGGAAATCTTCTTTCAGCCTTGACCGGGCCTAGCGCTTGTTGGCTTTGCGGCCGCAAATTCAGGGAGCGAAGAAAGCAGAGTGTGGGCACATCTCCATCACAGGAGGCAAGCGGGGTTTTAGAAAATAGGTTTGTGTGCAGCAGCCTGGATCTGCGGCTTTGGGAGCGGACAGTGTGCCTTAGGAGGTTCAGGAGCTTTTCAGGTGAACCGGGAAGGACAGACGGTCAAAACTGAATTGAGACACAACCCTGAAAGACTATTTTTTTGACGGAAATAATCCATTTTCTTTATTAAAGAGTTGATTTCATACTCCTTTTCCTATACATTTAAACAAAAAAACAGGTAAGAAAGAATAAGTGAAATATTTTGTTCCCTGCTACTCAAGGGAAGTAACTGATTATGAGGAAGATCAAACACTACCATACCAAGCTATAGTAGTGCACTTAAGGACTTTAATAATTGAGTAAATAAACATGTTAGGTGTTTTAACAACGTACGTCAATATAAGCCACAATGGTTTGAGTATCTTTCTCTAGGACATATTTTAAATGAGTTTTGGGGTTTTTGTGCGTTAACTATTCTCAACAACAGACTGACTGATTAAGCTGGTGCTCTACTGAGGAATAAATACACACAGTACTCTCCCGTCTGAGGAGCCCCGGCACAGCATACACCAGCATGTGTGTCTACGGAGGGACAACTTCAGGCTGTTCTTTTCACTTCGGCAGAAAACTGACCCCAAGAGCTTCAAGGGCACTGTGAGTTTGAAATTCTTTATGGGCCATCACTCTCTGCATTTTTAAGCAGCATGTTAGGAAACACGTAGCCTGCAGATGATTATAATATATTTATTTTTCTTCTCACTTGAATTAATGGGAAAAAAAAAAAGCAGCATCTGAATCTCCTATATCCAAAGTACTGCCAATATTTCAGTATGTAGAGAAAGTCTGCTTCTGGCCTGAAGTCATAAAAACCCAAAATGTCCCTTAGGACAAACACTTTTAGTCAAGTTATAAATCTTTCAACACAACAGCTCATTATGGGAAAAATAGAGATACCCTTTCATTAAAATAATATTTTAATGCATGAAATATTGAAATAGCAGAGTAAAAACTGGCTACATCGTTCTCAGTAAGCAAAACAACGGGCACTGAAAATTACAAATATTACGTTCTGTTTAATTTCTGTCATACTAGGCAGCATATTTTTCAGCAAGTAGCTACGGTGGAGAAGAAAACCACTTTTTCTTTTGTTTTAATGGCACAGAGGTAAATGAAAAATTTGTGCATGTTAAATACTATCCCAAAAAGAATGAAAATCTGTGCAATTGTGCATGTTTTCAGACTAGAGCTTCTGGCATAAAACACAGAGCCTAAGTCAATGTAAACCCAAAGTAAAACAACACAGTATTCTTAATTCATCTCCCAGTATAGTGTCAAAAAATACCAACTGATTTGTAACACGTAGAAAGCACTGAATAAAGAAAGGTGCAAAAGGTTGCAAACAACCACGATCAATCTGAGTAATTATACTGAAATAATATCCAAAGAAACAAGACAAGTGTCATTCTGAAACGAAACAGGTGGGCTTCAGCCTACCCTGGTGGCAAATTCATTACATGCACTAATGCCACTTGGTGAATTCTGTGTGTACACAGCAACAAGACAACAAACACGTTTTAGTCTATCTTTTATACGAAGAATTTAATTATCTATACATGTAACTAGTTTTAAAGGCTGTATTACAGTTGTTAAAGCTGCAGGTTTTTATATATTTATATAATTTACATTCATATTGATGAAATACTGAAGTGCAATTGAATAAGGAGCTTCACTTGTTCTTTGCACCACATGACAGGTCAGAAGGAGGGAGATGGGGTAGGATTAGAAACGCTACAACACTGCCAGCATGAGATTTAGAAATAAATGAAATACATAAAGCAGAACATAACTAAATGGTAAAGTAATTAGTAGAACGGCTATATTGTGCTTGAGGCATCGGGGAGAGAGGGTCTGTGCACTGGCAGCACCAGGCATTTCATCAAGAGCTTGTAACTAATGCTGGAAAGACAAACGTGGCTTAGCTACAGCACATCTACTGCATAAACTTGACTGTAAGCTCCATTTAATATTAATTTGTATAAATTCCACAGTCTAGTTTAAAAAAATGTAAACATTGTAAATTAATTGCAGGGAGATATTTCTATACATTCTTTGTTGTCAGGAAAGTTACTTTTCAAAACGTGTTGTTCCATAGTCACAAGAAAGTAAAACTGAGAAATCAAACTTCACATAACCAAGATGGAAATAAAGAAGCTAATTCTCAGATCCCACATGGATGTAGCATTCCATTGATCTCCGATACGACAATGAGAAAAACGGAACATCTGGAGACAAACACAAACCCGGGTGTTTTCTAACTGTACGCAGCTACCAGTAATGTGCAAAATAAAATTAACATAACTGGGATAACAACATTATGCAAGGTTAATCTCTCTTGCATTGGAAGGAAGTTAACTTTTCCTCTCCATGATGTATTACACACTCAACAAGGAACACCTGACACATACAGTACAATAACTACAACAAAATACCTTATCTGTAATTGGGCACATTTAAAGTTCCTTAGACTGATTTAACTCCTTCTGTTCTTTTGTAATTAAAAAAAAAAAAGAAAAATAAAGACAACATATTGACAACACTGGACGAGTGAACAATAAAAAAGAAAGATACATAAAGTCTCAAATTTATGGACATTTGGAACAATTTTAATAGCACATGCAGCATTCCTTGATAGTGGGTCTTTTTGCACAAACAAAATTGCAATGAAGAAATGTAATTTATACTTTTCCTTTAAAAGGCTAGAATATATATTTTTAAAAATAATTTTAAAACTACTGAAAGCACCTGTGCGAAGGTGGAAAATTAGTTTGGTAACTATGAAAGCCACAAAAGGACCCACTATCCTCTGATTTTTTTGCATTTGTTTTTTTTTTGTTTCATTTTAATTTTGCGTCTATATCTGTAGGTAATTAACTCAAACATTGCGATTACATGCAACTAATGTAAAATGAGGTAAACTGCTCTGCAGTGTGTTCTTCTACTCAGAAGGCAGTAGATGATCATGCTGGAAGCCACATGATCAAGGCTGCATCTCCCATCATCCCTCTGGGCAGTGATATGGGATAGTGGGTCTCTTTGAGGACTTTCAAGCCTGAGTGGGGGATGGACAACATATGATTCCTAGAAAAAGGAGGAAAACAACACATAAGCAAAACAAAACAATGAGCAAATTCAAGCTAGGAAAATGAGTCAGGCATGTAAACAGCATGGTGCAAAAATGATAAGGGGTAACATGCTACAAGGGGGATGGGAACTAAAAATAAAACGAACATAAAATAAGGTTTGCATTACAGAAGGTCTTCAAAGAGACTTTGACAAGTGCAGCAGTGGTGAAGCTTTGAGTTCTGCAAACCACGGCAGAATCACAGCAATGCTGCATGTTTCGTCTTAGAGTACGACACAAATAATCACAGCACGGCAGCAGGGAGGGTCACTTACATTGCTGGCTTGGGTCCATGTCTGTTGTCAGCTTCACGTAGTTGGATGGAAAGAGACCCACTTGTCCATTCACCTCCCCTTTCCACCAGTCTGGGTCTTCCTTGTTAAGGACGTTTATAATCTGGCCTTTACTGAACGCTAGCTCATCGTCATTCTGTGCAGTGTAGTCATACATGCCAATTACTTGGCACACTGTAAGATAAAGGAAGAGGTCTATCGCACCGGTAACGTTTCAGCCAAACACAAGCTATGCATAAACCAGCTGCGCATGTCACTGTGGCGCTCCAAAACACTATGCCGACCTGAACCGGTCCTGCCCCCCTCTCCCCTGTGCCCCTGTACTGGGGCTTAGCTGAGCCCTCTACAGATTGGCTCAAGGTGATTTAAAAAACCCAGAGTTTCCTAGCAGCACTGCGCGCTCAGGCAGCTTGCTGAGGGGTCAGGATCCCACTGGGGAGGGCAGCACGCAGCAGCGCAAATGGAGAACAGTGTAACCTGCCTGGAACTGTACCCAAGGGATTTTTGGTTGGAAGTGCTCTAACAGTAGGAAAAGATTGGGAAAATGTACAACTTTGTAGCAGAGTCACACACTTACAGGATGTTAGCTTTCTACTGACACTTCCCTTTCACTTTACATGTATTTTATGCCCACAAAAGCACAAAATTTGTATATTTATAAAAATAGCATTTTGCACCCTCAGCAACCTGTTCTGAAAGGTGTCCTTTCCAACAAACTGGTCGATGGCCAGAAACAAAGTCTGGGAAACAAAGTTCCACTATGTGAAGCCTGAAAAAAGCACTCTTCTCTGTTTTCTAGTTAGCACTGGAGAGGCTCAGCACAGCTCTGTAATTCAAGAGTAAGGCAATGACCTGAACATGAGGAAACGCTTCTTCACTGTGAGGGTGCCAGAGCACTGAACAGGCTGCCCAGAGAGGTGGTGGAGTCTCCTTCCCTGGAGACTTTCAAAAGCCGCCTGGACTTGTTCCTGTGTGACCTACTCTAGGGGATCCTGCCCTGGCAGGGGGGGTGGACTAGATGAGCTCTAGAGGTCCCTTCCAACCCCTACCACTCTGTGAATCTGAGTGAATCCTTGTACTACCAGTGAAGCATTAGGAACACAAAAAGATCATGGAAAGGGTGAGAAAAATAAAAAACATCCTAGGTCATTTAGGCTGCCCTTCTGGCACCACAGGACTGCTTCCAGCAGCCTGTTTTCTATTTCCTTGCTGTGAAACTCAATCAAATCTGACTGGCTCTCAGGATACAGCAGTTTCTAACGAATTAGAGCAATTTTCTTAATTCTCCAAAGCAGCAGGACTGTTTATTTAGATACATAATTTCCTCTATTTCTCTGATGTTTTCTATATGACAAGTCACAGGGCTTCTGGTATTTTGCCTTAAGACACAAGGCTTCTATCTAATTAGCCTTGCTCTCAGGTTCTATTATATTCAGCCTAAAATTCTCATTTATTTTCATCCTTGTACTCAGCCAGCAATGGATTTAAATTTGTCAAAAAGCTCCTCTCTCTTTTTGGAATATACATTTTGGAAATTATTCAACTCCTTTTAGTTAATACTTGGCACGTGCTGAAGCATCAAAATCAACTAAACACATGTTAAAAGACCTCTGCATGTATCTCAATATTTAGCTTTGTTACTTACAAAAGAAAAAAAAAAAAAAAGGGCACTCTGTCATTTGTCACACCGAGCACATCAGCTAAGTGTATATTTTCCTAGCATACTGAAGATAAACCAGCATTTCTAAAGAAATGCATATTATGGTGTACTCCTATTTTAGGTAGTCTTGTGCTAACACAAGTTCAAATGTGTGAATACCATGGGATGTTCCCATTTCACTTTAAAGACCTCCCATTTCACTTTAAAGACCTGTGAATCTGTTTTATAGCATTCTTGTTACAGGTTTACAGGTAATTACAAACATTCAGATGACAAAAATTTTAAGCTAGACCACACCTGAATACAATACATACATTAACAGATTTGTAACCCACTGCAGATTTAATTTCTTTCAAGAATTTTTCATTCAGATCATTCTCTCCTATTTCAAAAAACTTTTATGAAATTTGGTGCTGTCCAGTAATACACCAGAATATCTGAATAGTCCAACGGGAGCCCAAGAATCACTTTAAACGTGGGGAGGTAATATAGAGAATCCTTGAAGAGTTAGGATGCCTTAGTTACACCTGATCTCATCTTGAGATCTTATTTACACTTGGTCACAAAGCTTAGAATACACCTCAGTCATGTATAGGAAGCTGTTAGAGTAGTCACCAGCAACAAAGTTCTTCGCTATTTTAAACTCCAAAAGCCACTGCTAACCGCAGAAGCGAGCTGTAGCCCACCTGCTATGAGCTCCAGTGCTTTTCAGCCTTTGTTTCCTTTTTAGAAAGACTGTCTGTTGATCAATACTAGCCCTACCGCGATGGCAGGGGCAACCCTCACGACCTGTATAATCTATAATGCTGTCTTTCTTTAAACGAGCAGAACGCCTGAGATACTCTTCCCACTACTCCTTTATGGGGAACTTCCTTATGCCTGACCAGCTCCAAGTAACAACAACAGTTCTTGTCATTTCTCAACACCAGGAAGGCCGTGTTTATGACACAAGTTTAGAAGAGAACACATACAAATCAGTCAGAAATTCAGAAAACCTCAAAGTATAAAGCGAAAGTGTCCACACAACAGAATTAAAAAAAAAAAGGGGGGG